AAAGGTCAAGGTCGTAGCTGCTACAGTCTTCGAAAGGCCAGGACCCAGACTTCTGGAAGGTCCTAGTAGTGGCCTTTCGAAGTTGCTCACGTTTAGGCTGAGGCAAGTGGGCAAGTGGTGGAGTCACTGGAGTCCACCCGCGCTGAGTCAGCAGTCCCAGTCCCAGTCAGTCCTAGCCCAGTCAAGCAACTACGGCATGGGACTGTGTGCACCACGGGCAGGGGGAAAGAGGCAGGCCAACGAGATACGGAAGTAAAAATGAAGATGCAGCGCCCAGCCATTCATTCATTCCTGCGTGAGCCATGCGGAAGCGCTGCCACAGCGACTTGTGCGAGGTGGTCTGCAGTGAGCCCGAGGACGAAGTGGGCGAGAAGGAGTTTAGCCATAGCGATAGGATAGCAGCGGCCATAGCCGCCATAGCTGTAGATAGGGTGTAGTGTGTGTGTGTGTGTGTGTGTGTATGTGTATACAAAGTATCGTGCGTGGGATATCCAGGGTGATCCTGTGAGAGCAAACAGAGAGTTGTGCAGGCGCTGAGCCGCCATAGCCATCTAAAGCGAGTTGAATCTGAACTGTGTTCTTGTTTGCCATATCTCTGAGTTTCGAGTGGGCGCTCGTCGCCAGTTTGCTGCGCAACCTGTTTATATGCATGAGAAGTGTGAATGAGAGCGAGTCTGATGCAATTTCTTTCCCCTTTATTTTATGACTGGATGGACTTGCGCATGGAGTTGGACTACCGACTTTCCCTGAATAGAACTTACCGTTTTTATCGCTGTATTTGGGGCCGTTTTTTAAAGTCTGGATACAGTGATAAGGACCGTACATTATATTCGGGTCGGGTTAAGACCGTAAGGTGGCCAACATCTCCGTCATGCAGTGAATCATGTTTCAACAGCCATTCCGTAGAAAAGGAAGATTTTTATATTTTTGGAACGAAATTGAACCCAACGTATATGGCCTTGAAAAGTTCACTGAATTCTCTCTCGAGGTTTTTGGCATTTTCTGAATGCCGGATCCTCAGGAGAGAATTCGGTGAAATTTTTAGGGCCAAGTAAGGAGGGTTCAATTTTGTCAAGAAAAATATAAAAAAACTTTCAAATCTCCATTCTAATGGCATGGCTGTTTTCTTTTTCCCTCTCTCTCGTTCTGAGTGTTTGCTTTATGTTGACAACAATGTACACTTTGTGTGTACTGTGCCCAGGCTCTTTCCCTGTTCTCTTCAGTGGCCAAGTGCAGCACCCTCAAGTTGTGCCAAATAGTATATGCGGTTTTGTTAGAACTGCCTGCAACACGGTTGAGGGGAGGGTAGTGTATTCAGGATGCCTGTGTGCATCCGATTCTGTATTCCCTGATAATGACAGACATCTGTCAAACTGACTCACTGATTCTTGACGGTGGCATGCAGTGACCCAACAGTCTGTAGTCTAAGAGTGCTACTCGTGCTGTACTAAGTGATTTGTCCGCTTCGCTCTGTTACTTGTCAGTGCTGCCCTGCTCTTTGGCATCTGCTTTATCCCCTGTTTCCCTTGTGTTGCCTTGCATTGCCGTGCTTTCACGCTGCTTACTTGCCTGCCCAATTGTCCCGGTACCTGTCGGTGCTGCCCTTCTCTTTGGCATCTGCTTTATCCCCTGTTTCCCTTGTGTTGCCTTGCATTGGCGTGCTTTCACGCTGCTTACTTGCCTGCCCAATTGTCCCGCCCGCTCGCCTTCTTTGCTGGTTGCCTGCCTGATTGTCTTCCATGTGTGTGTGCACATTGCCTTGCTGCCTTCCTTACTTGGTACGCCTTGTGGGTATATCTGTAATTACCATTTGCCTAGGCAGGAAACATATGGTAATTACAGGTGTGTTTTCAGGCCACTTCCAGTCTATAGATATAGCTTTGCGGATCGTGGTATATCGTAAGTATTTCGGGCGATGATGTTTCCTATCCTAGCCTTCTAGGCTGCAGGTAAATACAAGCTCAGCCTGCAGGATACGCCTACTTGCCTACCCTTACCCCGCTGTCAATCTGCCGGCTTTGCTCGCCTTGTCGGTACTTGCTAAGCTGGCTTGCTTCTTGTCTTTGAGTCTTCCGCCTGCCATACTGCTTGCCGGACTCTGCGTTGATGCTTTGTTGTTTGCCTTTGTGTCCCAACCCCCTGCCTGCCCAATGCGTGGTTTCGCTCTGGCTGCTTTGCTTTGCCGCTTGTGTGATCGCATGCCTGGCTGTTGACTCGCAGCAGGGGTTGAAGTAGACTGCTGTCTTCACACCAATATGGTGAACAGAACGTTCGGTTGTTATTGCTGTATCTAGACTGAAAGTGCCCCGCAATACAGCTGTAATTACCGTGCGTTCTTGTCAGAGCAAAGGCGCTATGACCGGTATGGCTCAACAGATCCATATCGGGGTTCTGCAGACTGTGGATGGGCTCAACCCCTTGATGAGTCGGTGAGAGCCCGACGAAACGGTCCGCCTCTGCATGACCTGTATGCGCTTTTTTGTTCTCTCTGCCCCTGGTTTTAAACGAGGGATTCGAACAATTTTTGTCCTGTTTGAACACTTTTTATAAAGTTATGTTTTTCGGGTGGTTTCATTAAACCACTAGTACCTTTGCCGCTTCAGAAATGAGGAAAAACGCCAGCTCCCGAAGAATCCGGAGGTGAGGTCTTTCTCAACATCTCTCACTCTCTCTCGACAGCTCTAGCTACAGTGCAGGCATGTATGAGCCTGCAAGCACTGTAGCGAGTCTCTGCCATTGCAATCGTGCATGCATGAGAGAGAGAGAGAGAGAGAGAGAGAGAGAGAGAGAGAGAGAGAGAGAGAGAGAGAGAGAGAGAGAGAGAGAGAGAGGTGGCACGGTGGCACCTACTGACCTCAAGAACTCTGTTGTACATAGGGTGTGGTCCATCATATGTGGTTACAATTGCCGACACTATTTCTATTTTTAGTCGAGCTGAACTAGCAAGAGCCTGGGAGGTAATAATATGCGTAAGCTAAAGACACGGACAGTTAAACGCGTTTAGGCAGCAGATTTCAAAGAAGGGACTACGGTCATCAACCAAATTGGCAAATTCCCTTTTTTTTTTTTTTTTTTTTTTTTTTCCCTGGCAACTTTACCTTTTTTTTTTCTTTTTTTTTCCTATTACATCAATGACAGCCTCCCGCTTCCTTCCATTCGGCAGAAGGACCCCTGACCAGCGTTGATTACTCCCTGTATCAGGAGGATCGACTGTCAGCTTGCCTTGTCATCAGGAATCCTTCTCAGGTTCTGAACCTGAACCTGCCAACTATTAACTTTCCATATCAAGAATCCTTAGAAATATTATGACAAAAAAAAATTAAAAAGTGCCTGAGGCTGCCTTTGGCAGCCTTCCCCTGCTCCTGCCTCTTCTTGGCTGACGGCTCCGCTTTCAGTCTTCCTTTCTTGCGGGACTCTGGAAGTCTGGGGTCTCTCCTGTATGCCTCCTCAGTACTGGGTACTATGCGTATTGTCCCAGTCTTTCCATTGTAGCCTGTCTGCGCGGATTATGTGCTACCTTGCCTCTGACCGTCGCCGTTCAGAATCAGGCACCGCCCCGGACCCGTGGATTTGAATACCTTCCTTCGTCCTTCCCCGTTTGCACTCGATCTCTGCTTCTATCGCGCCCTTTGTTGCTGTTCATACCTTGTCGTGTGTGTTCTGGGTATTGTCCAGCGTCCTGCTGCACCTCTCCTGCCATATGTCATCAAGATGACATCAACCCAAATGATTTTTCGGAATTTTTTCCTATATCAAGCGAAAGCGGATATATTATGAAAGTGAATTGAAAGGAAAGACAGGAACCAATAAGAACAGGGCTAATGGAGTTCGCCCAAACACACATGATCACAATTGATACATCCATGACACCGAGAGTGATTCCAGAATTGCAAAGCAAAACCATTCACAAGAAGCAGAGATAAATTCTGGAAATACGCCAAGTAAGATCCAAGGCTGAAGCAATCTGGGTATGGAAGAAGATCCGCGAGCTATGGTCGATCCTGTTCGCTGCCCCCCCCCCCAAACATCCCCCCTATCTCTATCCTACTTCTAACTAACATCCCCAGCAACATCACAGGCAGCAGGGAAGCATGGTTCACCCTACTCAGGAAGCTGGCACTGCGGGTGATATGGAAACGCAGATGCACTCAGACAATCGAGGGAACAGAGGTGGCAAGAGAAGAAATGTGGTCACTACTGCTGAGCATGGCAGCGGTGGAAATCAGGAGCAGATGGTGGAGAATAGCGAACTCTACGACACACAGACCAGAAAGACAAGCAACCAAGAAACGGACTTTCATAAGGAACTGGTTGCTAAAAGGCAAGGTGGCAACGTTAGTAGACAATAGACTGAGGTGGAAGAAATGGCACCAGGCAGAAGCATGAAGACCACGAGGGTACATGCCGGGAGACCTGGCAGAAGGTTCGGAATGGTGATCAACAAAAAGAGGACCGGACACAAGACAAGGACAAGCAACAGAACACAGAGCGGACCCCCCCACTGTTCCCAGGGACTCATTCGACAGGCTCTAACTAGAAGCCTGAGAGGAACAAATGGGCAGGGCGAGCTGACAGTCAATCTTCCTTAGAAGGAGCGATCAATGCTGATGAGGGGTCCTTCGCCCAGACGGAAGGAAGCGTTGAGTGGGTAATATGATGTAATCCGTTTTTGACTTGCCGGGGGAATAGGAACCGGACTGATGCTCCCCAGAATAGATATGGAGCCAGGACCATAAGGACCATAAGGACCTGTTAAAAAAAAAAAAAAAAAAAAAGAAAGAAAGAAAGATAGATTAGTTCGTGACAGAGATATGCGAGTTTCAAAGCTGCGCAAATTTTACTAGAGAGAGAGAGAGAGAGATTTTACTAGAGAGAGAGAGAGAGAGAGAGAGTATACGGAGTAGAAAATTTTAAAACAGAGAAGATGCGTCGTCGCCTGGATATGGAGCTGAATAACGGGGAAGAATAGTTTTGTCATCGTGATGGCGCCGCCTGCCAGTGATGTATAGCTCTACCGGTTTCGGCCGCTCAGCAGAAGATGGCCTCGTCATGATCGTTCGAGGGGAGAGGGGAAGATCCATATGGCTTAAATAAGGAGCGAAGGGTAAGAGAAAGGGAGAGATGGAAAATATAAGAGGGGTAGAGGAGTTGAGGGGGGTTGTTTATCATGAAAGAGAGAAGAAAAGGGGGGAGGCTACTCGGCGGCATATTCGCCGATAACCGGCTGACGCCGTAGCGCAGAGATTAAGCGACATGCCGACAAGTGTCGGTGGCAGCGGCGTCGGAAGGTGAACTCGTTGTCAGATGCAGTCCTGGAGAAGGAAGGGCGACATGCCGCAACCTCCTCTGTCACGAAAGAAAGCTCGGGCCCGCTAATTCCGTGATGCCGATCTGAATTTGGCAAATCACCACTCCCCTAAGCCCCCTTGCATGTCTTATCCAAGGGCTGTTTCCCGTGGGCCCCTGGTTAACGCGCCGATCTTGCATATCAAGTAGGTCCTGGGGTTGAATCCTCTCCGATTACCCAAACTATAGTACGGCAGGTTATGCGATAGAAAAAAATACTGTCTTAAAAAAAAGGTTACGTGGTACAAAAAAATACTATCTTGTAGGGAAAAAAACACTGCCAATCTCGTGTGCTCGAAGCCGGGTGTGAGAAAGTATATTAAGCAGTCCAAACTTCTCCAAAGGTCACGTTTTCGAGTCCGGGTCTTGAGAGAGAAGCATTTTGCAGGTCTTGAATTAGAAACCGGCCTGAGAGATCAAGGTAAAGCAGCTACACAAAGAGGGGGGAGGGGGGGGGGGGGGGGGAGAGAGAGAGAGAGAGGGAGAGAGAGAGAGAGAGAGAGAGAGAGAGAGAGAGAGAGAGAGAGAGAGAGAGAGAGAGAGAGATGGTGGTCCTACTTGGCCCTTCAACGGTTTTGAAGGTCAACAGGAAAACGTGGTGAAGGCCCGTAGGGATGTACCGAAAACGAGTTGGGGCTTTCAAAAGTATGCATGCGCAATTGTATTTTGAAAACTGGGATTGGTACCCGGCAGGGGTATATCGAAAACGATGATGGGTCCAATGTGGATGCACGGTGTGTTCTACAAATCTAGGCAATTACAGTCAAAAGAGCATTCCGCTCTACCTGAGTCATTAGCAGTATTCTGCCATTGTCTTCATCCTCATGTGTATATCGCAAATTTTCTCTTTAAAATATCACATAAAACCGGATGGAAAGTTGTCCTTTGCGACATCCGTTACAATTGGAACGATCCAGAGAAGATTAGCCTGGCCCCTGCGCATTAAAAAAAAAAAAAAAAAAAAAAAAGCCGGATAGAAGGTTGAAAAAGGTAAGGCCTTTTCGTTTTCGGATCTAGTCATCCAGGTGGAAAGGGGTTGTTCCCGTAAACACTAGACAACATGCTGTCAGACTCTGAGAGTCGGAGGCGCATGCATCACATGAAAGGTAGGTGCTTTTTCCTTTTCTCTCTACAGAGTAGCCTCTTTTTCCCCTTCTCTTAGTTCTCTAGCTATTGCCTATTTTTTTGGGGGGGGAGGTTGGGGGTTTGGGGTGGAGATGCAGGGGGGAGAGGGAGGGCAAGGGAAGGGAGGGGATTGTATAGAAAAAAAGTTTACAGAACTTTGAAAAATTTTCACTTGTAAGGTTTATCTGACATCAACTCACACATTTGACTTTTTTTTTTTGGGTGTGTTTTTGTGCCCTGGGGGACTTGGCTTTGGTAAAAAGAGGCCCGGAGGTACTGGTGGTTTAAAATTTATATCAAGTTAAATAAATTTTTAATTTTTTAATTCCCTTAGGTTCCTGTATCTGAGGCTCTAAGGTGCTATTTTTTGGGCAGTTTTTTTTTCCAAAATTTTCTGTGTTTCTTGAATATTTCTTGAATATTTTTGCGTCTCGTCGTGTCCATTTCAAAATGTTTGGTCTTTTTTTGAATGGCCATCCGTGCCACTGGGATGATAAAAACTTCCACTTAAAAACTTGAAAGTAAATATATGAAGAAAGCAAGGTCACATACTTTTTTTCTAAAATAGGATAACAGGATAAGAAACAAAATAAGGGTATAGCCTAAAGTAGCCTAAAACAGGATAAGAAACAAAATGACTTTAAATAAGCACCCACTTAGACGAAAAGTAATGAAAACAAAAAAGTTGAAAAAACAAATAACTGACGATACAATTGTCTATTGATTTTCGATCTATGATTGTGTTCCCAAGTCGCATGACGCTTCAAGAAATTGTATCCGAAGCGGTCGGCGCCGATATCGTACGGGGAAACTCATATGTAGTCGATTACGAAGATGATGGTGAAAAGGTGAGCGTTGCGAGTCCTCCTGTTTAGGATCCAAAATTTTCCAATCCCTTTGTCTTTAGATTCTGTGGGAGGGAGGGAGGGAGGGAGGGAGAACTTCAAAGTGAAACCCTTTTGCTGCTCTTCTGCCTTACAACCATAGATCTGTTTTTTTTTTTNTTTTTTTTTTTTTTTTTTTTTTTTTTTTTTTTTTTTTTTTTTCAACTTTTTTTTTCTCTCTGCAGTGCAGATCTGCCTAAGCTTGTTTACTCTTGTTAATGGAAACTCTACTTTCTAGGTTCTCTTGATTTTTGGAAGTGGATTACTGTTTTTTTCAATACTCTGCGCGTGTGTGATGAGGTAATGCTGCTGATGGGTGTATCTTTTTTTTTTCCTGCCTTCATCCTCATGCTCACATTGTCTTTGCCGGACTCTCTTCTCCACTCTACTAAGCTTGTGGTCACCGGTTTTCACTTCCTCTTTTTTTCTTCATCATCTTTACTTCTCTACTCTTCTCTCTTCTCTCTTCTCTCTTCTCTCTTCTCTCTTCTCTTTCCTTCTCCTCTTCTCTCACCTTTTGTCTTCTTTTCTAGTCGGACAGTGACCTTAACCCGCCAGTACATGGCCCCAGCCCTGTAGAAAAGGCAACTCATCCCCACCGCACTGTAGCAATGGCTCGGCGGCCTACCGGACCACAATGGCTGGCTGCGGCAGCCAAAAATGAAAAAAAGTAACACCGCTGGCAGTTTGGAAAAGCTTGGCGCGCAGTAAGGCGCCTCCAGGCCCGGGTGTACTCGTGGTTTAATCCAGCACACTATCTCAGAATGATTGGTTCTATTCTATTTATAGACTTGTCGCTCTTCAACCATGCATTCCTTGAGCCTTGCTTTGCATTCTGAGCTTGGCAGCTTAACCTGCTGTCTTCCGTCGAACATAACACATATATGTTGTAAACGAATACAACACATAGATTGCTTTCCATTCAAATACAACACACGTGTGTTCTATTCGAACAACTTTGATTTTCGAATACAACACACATGCGTTCTCTTCGAATTTTAGAATCCAACGCAACGAAGGCTACAGGCATTGAAACCAAGGCGACCTGTGAGCTTGCTCGATTGATTTTGAGACACTAGTGATGCATTTATATGTCGCAGACTGCGCCACTTTGCCTCAATCGATAGTATTCATTTCATTCGAGTAAGAGTTATTTACTATTATTTATTGTGGTTTCAATTAACACAATTGCGATGTCGACTCATCACATCCTGGAGCTGGAGAAAACGTAACCTTTTCTCCTCTATGGAAACTTAGAGGTAATAAACGAGCTCAAAACGGTGAAGGCATAAATTACAAGGTCAAGTTAACGCCGTGGTAAGAACCTATTCTGAAGTCAAACGTGCTTACTTCTTTTATATCAATATTGAATTAAGTCGTTTGGCAGATACTTTGCGGGTTGTATAAGAAGACCGCGTCAAAGATCTTTCCAATTTTTCGAATACAATGCAGTGAACGCACATGTGTTCTATTCAAGTTTTTTTTTTTTTTGAAACCTCGAATACAATGCATATGCGTTATGTTCGGGGGAAGATGGTAGCTACTAGCTATTATTAGTCTCATCGAAAGATTCGAAACTTAAGCCACCGCTGCATCAGAAGCAAGTTATCTGGACTGAAGGGTTCAGTCAGCTACCTACTTTCATCCAAGCCCCCCCTATTAAAAAGGTTATGAATGAAAATAGGTAGAGACACATCACACGATGAGTAAAGCACACTCCAGCGATAACACACTTCGCACAATCGAAGAAAGTCAATGCAATGATTGAGATAGAGAATCCATGGCCATCATCATTCCGACAACCCCAAGAACTCTGTCGCTCCTGGACCACATACCCGACCCGGTTCGAAAACACGGTCGAAGAGGATAAACCCGGCTCAAACATGCTATTTATACTACAACTACTTCATCCTACGTACAAAACAAGGTCAGGAAAAAAAGTGAAAAAAGTTAAAAAAAAACACAGAACAAGTCCTTTTTTTTTTTCTTTTTTTTTTTTAACACAGAACAAGTCCTACTACTGGTTCCGCAGTCCTATGGTTGCAAAAAGGCTTCGAACAGCAAGCTTCATCGGACTCTGGTCGGACCAGTCCGGCAGTTCAGTCAAGACTCAAAAGGCTAAATCGAGGCTCAAACAAATCATCAGATTCATCACCACCAGAAGAAAAAAGACGAAACCTACTGATGGGCCAATAACTACCTTCTTCCCCCGAATACAACGTACGGTCATTATAGCTGTATTCGACGCATCTTTCAGCCTAGATACAGCTCGAATGACCGTACGTTGTATTCGGGGGAAGAAGGTAGGTCCTCCAAAGTCCAAACCAAGTGACAACCAACCCTAGCCAATTGGCCATCCGTAGGGGGAGCAGGGTGGGTGGAGGAAAGGGGGGAGAAGGTAGGTTGGTGGGGAGAAGGGAGGTTGATGGGAAGCAGGAGAGGTGGGAGGGGGAGGGCATACTATCAAATGGCTCCGCAAATCTACCCAGGTGCATCACTTGTTGTCATAACAGCTAGACTGGTCTAGAACCTGGATCTACCCAAGCCTGTTTCTGTGCCTCAACCGAACCAGGGGACCCTGTTCGGCGATCCTTTAGGTGGTTCCTATGAAGTAATGAAGGCTCTGGATGACATATGGTGAAAGACAAATGCGTTTAAATGGCCCATTGTACTTTTGAATCCAACCGTGTGATGGTTTATGAAGTGCCCGAATGAATATGAAGTCTTCAAAGGGTTTTATAACTTATAACAGCCATTTCGCTAAGAAGGGACATTTTTTATTTTTGTATTTTTTGAGCAAAATCGAAACCAACTTGTTTGGCCCAAAAAATTTCAAATCTAGGTGGGTCCAGCATTTTCAGAAGGCTTGACCCTCTGGAGCTACAATGTGATACTTTGGGGGTAAAATAAGTTGGTTTCAATTTCGCTAAAAAAATATTCATTAACTGTCCATTTCAACGAAATGGCTGTTTATCTCTCTCTCTTTTTTTTTTTTTTTTTTTTTTGTGGTGTTGCTCTGGAAGTTGAATGGACTTGTAATTTGAATTACACCAACAATTTACAACAACCTGACGCAACAGGACCCGACGTTACTCGGGAGCTGAAAGTGGGGGTCTCCGTTAATCCACCAGTACCTCCACGTTTTTACTATTTAGGTCGTTAACGCGGATACAACTCAAAATTGTTGCAATATCTCCATAGAGTTATAGACCTAGATGACAATCACCTATTGAATTAATAAACAATTCATAAATTCATTCCGCTATTACAAATAATACTTTTGATAAATAAAAGTTTTCAATTTTTAGGATTTTCTTTGTATAATCTCTATATCTTTATAAAAAAGTTTAAATTCAATTCTGAATTTTCGAATAAAAATAAGCAAATAAACAATATAGATGAATTTATCTTAGGAGATACTATTTATCAGACCCCGTTATTTACTACTCTAGGAATCTCAACTTATTCTCCAGGAAGAAAACCATCGGTCATACCATCACCTAATATTATCATTTTAGATGTCATTTGACGAACAATTATTTCTATCACATTGATTGTTACAATTACACTACAATATTCTCTTTATAGCAATACAATAAATATATTATATTATTATTTCTATCCTTAATAATTAGATAATTATATCCTTTTTATATTTAAGAGGATACATGGCGTGTAGTCGTTGAGGGGTATCTTGAAGAAACTTTCCTGCTGATAATCCGAATTCATTCAATTCATTTCCTATGCTATTGTTACTTATGTTTTTGATTAGAAACTACGGATGTCCCAGCATATAGCCAAACTCTCTACAGTGTTTATCAAAATTTAATGCTGATCCTTCTTCTCTCAAGAGATAGCTACAATACTATTTGCAAGGTACGGTATTGTCCTCTGACAAGGAGACAATCGAAATCACATCAATAATCTATATTATTGATGTGATTTCGATTGCCTCCAAGAGACCCGCCACAGAGTGTTTTCTCCACTCCTTCTAATCCTTGAACCGATCACCATTTTTCGGCTAATCTAGCCTTCTCCGTCCCTCGGGACAAATAAGGGGTGAACTGCTTAAATACAGACCCAAGTTCGAATCCCTGTCAACTCAGATGAGTAAATAACTCAGAATTTAGTATTTAGTATTTACTATTTACCTGGTGCCAGTCAGTCTGGACTCTGAAGATGATATCTCAAGGCCGCAGTCCTTTCTATAGGGGGGGAAAAAGAAAAAAGAATGGTGGTACAAACTACATACCTGAACTATTGAGAAACAGGCCTGAGTTTCAAATCCTGATGGGAGGGGAATCAGGTGAATAAAATAAATTAAGTTTAAATAACTCTTGAGCAACCTGGAGCTGACTTCTATGACGACGATACCTCGAGGACGATGCTACCTCAAAAGCTGTCGCCCATCGAGTACCGAAAAAAAAAGAAAAAAAAAAACAAGGGCGGACAAGGGTAAAGTGGAGGGAGGACAAGAGCGAAAATGCTGTCGAGAACTTGAGACTGATGAGCTTGGCTCAGTTGGTACATCCTTAAAGCTGTCGAAATATAGACCTGAGTTCGAGTCCTGATGGACCTAGATGATTAATGGAACGAGTAATTCTGAATTACCTGGGGCTGGTCACTTGGATGATGATATCTCAAGGTCGTTGACCTTTTTTTTTTTTTTTTTTTTTTTTGTGTGTGTAAATGCTGTTGAGTGTGGACCCATAACAATATGAAAATTTCAGTTGGTTTGTTGAAATTATTCTGTCTTCAGGTGGTTGCAATTCTTGATGATGGAAGGAGGATAGAGGGAGATCTTCTGGTTGGAGCGGATGGCATCAGATCAAAGGTAAGAGAATATGTACTCACACATACACATGCACTAGAAATTCTGTGTGGTGAATGTATCTTACTGCAATTACGGCTGGTGCTGGATGTATCTGACCGCAAATGATCGTGGGTCCTGCATGTATCTGACTCCATTGTCTTCCAGAGATGAATCAGAAAAGTCGTAGTCTGAGTATGCGATGCGGCAGCATTCACATCTCAAAAAAGAGCCCAAGAGAAAGATGATGATGATGATGATGATGATGATGATGATGATGATGATGATGGTCATCATGTTTTTTTTCGAAAACTATATTTATTTATGACAATCAAAGGTCATGATGCATCCTCCTCCTCCTCCTCCTCCTCATCATCATCATCATCATCATCATCATCATCATCATCATCATCATCATCAGTTGTCACGGCTACGTCATTCTCTGTCGGTATAACCCTGAACAATTGAAATACCTACCTGGGTACGAACTCCACTGAAAGCAGATAATTTAAAAATGCTGCGATTGAAGCGATTCCCAATTACCTGGGGCGGGTCAGTTCGATGATGATATCTCAAGGCCGTCGACCTTCTAGGGAAAAAAAAAAAAAAAAAAAAAA